CCTATGGTTCCAGGTGAGCTGCAGACAGACCCTATCAGAGACGATGACAACAGCCGACGTAATGATGAAGAAAACGAACACTTCTATTATTTTGATGGAGTTCTCAAAAGAGTTCAAAACAATTTTTACCCCCACTACAAGAGTGGCGTTCCCGCAGAGAGACAAAAAAGAGACACTCGTGAAAATCTTCTCAGTTATATTCTGCGACTTACGTTAAGGAATAGGGGTCAGTGACTTCAAAAGATTAGGTGCTGAAGATGATTTCTAGAGACATGATCAGTAGTGTCTGAAAATAAGTGAAATCCACAAGGTGACCAAAGGACCTGAACGAAAAAGTATGCAATAACAAGAGCTTCATCCACAGGACAACAAGTGGAAAGCAAGTATGCTGGATCATTCAAAACCTCTAACTTCTCTTTATATCCAGTTAGATACTGACAGTCTGAGGAACTAACAGGACAGAAAGTGAAGCTCACAGTGAAGATACTGTGAACCTGAATTTTACTGGATAAAAAATGTATTTCCTACCTCTGAATATAACTTATAAGAATGTAGAGACATTTCCCTAAACGTGTTCACATTTTGACTTGATGCACTTAATTGTGCACAAGCCAAGAGGGCCTGAAGTTTGCACTATGTATTATAAAAGACTTCACAGAGTAATTCTAATTCATATAATATAATTAATCAGCCTTTCTGTTTAGCAGAACTAAACAGAGCATTTATTTTCACCACAGCCTTTGTACATGACTTGTGGTTTTGATATTTTACCTGTAGTGATTGAATGTACTGGGAAAGTGGGAACACAAAATAAAACAATTACTGTGTATAAATTGTCTAGACTGGATATTTCTAGTATTTGTTGGCTGAATTTGGAGATTTTTCTGTGAACTGCGAGTTTGTGAAACATGTACAGTTAGGTCCATATGTTTTTAGACAGTTTTGCCTCTGTACACCACCACAGTGGATTTCTATTGAAACACTCAAAATGTGTTTGTAGTGGGCTTAGTTTGTTTATTTATTTATTTTTTTAATTCTTGGAAGAAAATGCTTTTGGAGTCAGTGAAGCATCGAAGTTAGAATCCATGGGCATAACAAATTGTTCTTTCCTCCCTTAAGATGCTCTGCCAGGCCTTTACTGCAGCCAGGCCTTTGATTTGGCCACTCTCAAAGTTTTTGCTTTGTGACACATTTATTTGAGTTTTTCAGCCTTTTGGGGATCTCCTTTGCTGTCATCAACATCTCTTTGGGCCTCATATTGAGAGTTTCAATGAAGGCAAATTCAAGTTCAACTGGAATTAGTGCCACGTCTTTTATTTGCTTACTCTGTCATAGACTGACAAGAGAAAAGGCCTCATCTGTTAAACCTCTTCAGTCAAAATCTACATGAAAAACTGCACTTTAGTCACATCTTAATTGTTTGATAGTTTTATTTTAACCTCCTAAGACCCAAACTCTTCCACGTTATGCATTTTTAATGTCCTGGTAAGTGCATATCAGGCCCATGTAGAGCAAAATTGAGTATTTTAGTCTAAATAACCCAATATGTGATGTCCACATATGTGGACGCAGGGTCCTAGGAGTTAAAGGTGGTGTACAGAGACAAAAATTGTGTAATGTCCTGAAAACATCTGGATCTAACTGTTTGCACACAGTGAAACAGGTTTCCCTCACTATGAGGATTCCTTCTTTTCATATTGGCTATTACAAAATGCAAGAAACAAGTTAATTTAAAGCCATGAGTGTCAGTAATTTGACTACAATAAAGTAATTAAAAACTACAGCCTTTCTAATAATAATTTGCCCCCCCCCCTTAAACTGCTCACTCAGCTCGTAAACGCTGTCTTAGGATTCACAAATGTATTTGTAATGTTGCGTGTCCTTCATGTTTTTTACTGAAAGTGTGTTAAAGAAGATCTATGAACAGGAGGCGTGATTACAACAAGAAAAAGATTTAATATCGGCCTTAACATCTGTACATGACTAAGAAAACCTTAATGTCTTTTAAGTACTGTATTTCTATTTCACTCTCACCTGGTTGGCGAAATGAAACACCTTAATGGTCGGGCATCTTTAATGGTGTTGTGTATCTCCTAGTCAAGCTGTCCATAAAAAATAACTATCATATTGTTTCACTGCTGCATGATGACCACAAACATTTCTATTTTGGATTAATGAGTTAATGATAATGCATAAATTCAGGCTGATCATATTCAGTCAATGTAGTATTTAAAGAGGGCTACCTCCAGGGTCATGTCTAGCGCTTTATTTTAAAATAAAAGTGTTTAGGACTTACATGCATCACACTATTGATAAAATCCACATAACTAGATTGTACTAGATTTTAATTCTAAAATAGTTTGAAATCAACACTTTTGACACTCAGCAGCTGCGTCTTGCTGCTAGGTCATCCTAAATTACAGACGTATAGACTCCAGAGGGCTAAAAGCCCACTTTCTTCTGATTGGCTGTCCTCTGGAAGCATGATGAGGGGGAAGCACACGATGCTTGTAAGCTGAAATACTGGTACTTGTTTGCCAGAGTGTGCTAGGTGACCATAGTCTGAAGCCAGGATTTATATGTAAATACTGTATTATGACTTGAAAAATGTAACATAAAAATATTAAGTTGTGACATTATGAGCCTGATTCACCAACATAGGGTGAATTTTGGGTTAAATAAAAAGTACTGAGGGTATTTACAAAAAGAGTGCAGTAAGAGGTGGGAACTTTTTGCCACTGACCCCGGTGCATACGTATTTCCTTTGTCAAGGCACAAAGTATGGCGCAGTATCGGGAAGATAATGTTTAAATCAAGTGCAAAAATGTATTTACTGTTTGTTACACACAGTTCGCTGCCAGTTATCTTTAACGCCAACAAATTCATGCCTTACTTTTTGAGCTTGTTAATGAAACGGCTTGCACTGGGTGTTTAGGAAACAGCACAACTTTAGTGAATGACCCGTAAGACTAGAGCTCTTTAAAGTAACGTATCGTCAGATCAGAAAAAGTAAAAATGATGAAGACAGAATTTACACAATCAATGAATGACTCATAATAAAAAAACAAAAAAACAAAAAAACATGCAGATCCCCGAAAGCCACACTGAGCCATTGCTGTAAAAAAACAAAAACAATGAAAACATAATTTCAATGTCTGTACAAAACATTTATTTGAAATAGACATAAAAACAGCTTTGATGTATTTGCATCATTCATATCTGAAATCCACGACGAGCAAACAATAACTAAGGAGACATGGCTTAATGGAAATCATGAACAGAATGGTTTTTTATACAAGTAAAAGGAAGTTTTGTGAACAGCTTAGGAATTGCAATGAAATATGTAAAACCACAGAAATATTACAAAACATGATTTGTCTGAGTAAACAGAACATCCACTGAAGCCTATTCACTGCTATACAACACCAGGAAAGGCTGAGGGGGATTAAAAAAAGAACTAAAATGTTATCAGATGAAAAAACTGGATCCAAATGGAGCATGAAAAGGGCGTACAGGGTCCCTAGAAATTGATGCAGGCTGTATTTTCATTGTCTTTCAGTAGATGGCAGTGCCAGCACTGTAGCATCATTCTTTAGCAACAATATATAACTCTGTAACTCTTTTCTTTATACACGAGGAACTGCAGAAAAATGGGCGAAACAAAATCTAGTTAAAAAAATGTTTTTTTATCCTCAATAACTTCATACGTCACTATATTCATTTTAGTCTGTTAATATAGTTGCATATATACATATATATAGTTTGTGAGACTTCTATGCTCTCTACACATATACATGCGAGAAAATTGGGGGGGAGGAGTCTTCTTTTTGAAACCAGAAAAGGTTTCCTTCATCTTGTGAGACAAAACAATCCGTACCTGCACCCTGCGTCACTGCTGATATGAAGGGACTATTTGGTCAGTCGGCTCACTCAAAGTCCAATTTGAAAAGACGCATTCAGCGTTGGGCATCACGGACGCTTCGACAACGTGCCCAACGCGGTCTCGGTGGAAGAAATGGCACCGAATCACTGACACGCCCGCAGCCGAACGGATTCTAAGAAAACACTACGAGCTGAAACTACAACCTGAAACATTTGTTTTCAGTCATTTTGCCCTGGTGCTACAAACCCCGACAGCACTAATACTGCGTGTGTATTCCAGGGGTCACTTTGGCAATGGCATTAAACAACAAGAGATAACTATTTATTTATTACAATAAATATATCAATAAATAAAAAGACCTTTTGAAATTCTCCAAGTTACAAGGACACACTTTTTTTTTTTTTTACTAAGCTACTCGTCGTCGTCCCAGCAGAAAGAGCTGGTGAAAGTCCTTCTTCAGCGTTATGTGTGAGTAGTAACACTGAACAGGACTGAATGACGAGGAAGGCCATTTGTGATGTGACCAGGTCGTAGAAAACAATAACAAAAAGACACCTAAGTAAATGTAGGTATTCAAACAGCGCAGCAAAGGTCAAGCTTGTGATTAGTAAGGATGCAAGTTAACCTTTGTTATAACAAACGGAGGCTATCTTCCAATCATTAGTCGGAAAAGTGTTCATGGACTAATATACAGAAGTTGAAATCAGCACAACTGACAGAGCGTGACTTTTTTGCTTTAAATCCTACATGTGCCTGAGGTCAGTGCATCGATGCGGCACAGTATTTGTGACATAGCTAATGCCACTCCTACAAACCAGTGTATATATCCTTGTCTCGCGCTAGTGTGTTAGCATCTGGGCGGATGACCAACACAAAGCCAGAAACGTCTTAGCTTTCAGTACTTGGCTACGCTTCTCTACAGCTTAAACCATGCAGCCGCAGCACCTGCGGAAGATGACAACTTCATGTTCTTGTGCTCTTTTTAAAAAAAAGAAAAAATTTAAATTGTTACACCAGGCTTTTTGTTTCCATGGTTACGCTTCAGCATTTGGCAAGAGGTTAGCATCCTCAGACCGTTCATCAAAACAGCTTGACTTTCCCCTTTTTTGCTTTCATCTTTTTTGTCTTGTTTTTTTTTTTGTTTTTTTTTTAAACTACTGGCTTTTGAATACGTGGCCGATCAGCCACAAAAGAGGTAAGCCTGTTCATGAGACACAACGTCCACTGGCAGTGTCTGTGTGCTGTCTTTTTGTATTAAGTACTTTGTGTTTACTTCATTTGAAGTCCCCGCTGCTTTTCAGGGCGTGTCTGCGTGTTTGTAGTAGCCCCTTCGGAGGGCTTCGGAGGCGATGCTCTCGGCTGAACGTCGCTGGTCCATAGTCAGCAAAGTGTTTAGCAGGTCGTTGATGTCGGCTCGGAGTCCCTGCCTCTGCATCCAGTTCTTCAGCAGTTCATACACTTTATCACTGGAAGTGCCGCTCTCCGCAAGCCGAATGTGGTTGTCACTGACTCCAATCATTCTAAAGAACTTGTTGTGGATCCGCACGTCCAAGTACTCGTCGAACAAATCAAAGCTCTTCCTCAGGGATTTTTCAGAACCTTTTGGGGGAAAACAAACAAACAAAACACACAGATGAGACAGGGAAGAATTTCGACTGTGAAAACAGAAAGCCACAACGTGTAAAATGCATGTGCATCTTGTTATTTTACAGACTGCTCCTAACAGACTGTGAACACTAGCGTGCAAATCATAACAGTATAGGCATTGTTCCAACAAAAGGAACAAGCAGCAAGTTTCAATACATTTTCTGTCAGGGGAGGCATGTATAATACTATTAACAGAGGATCAAACAAATCAGTTAAGCCGTGTCCTCTTTAATTCACCATGAGAACAAAACAACAGTAAAAAAGGCCGCATGTTCCGAAGCCCTAGAGGCTCAGATATGGCCTGACTATCATGAGATTATAAATCTATCAACCAGCAAAGATGAGCTCTGGAGGAGATTTTGTGACTTCCCTTTGGATTGCCATGAACAGCATTAAACTGTACTGTTTTTATGTAAAGCTGTCTGGCTCTTAGGGTAAATCAAGTGGGGGAAAAAAAGTACTGCAGAGGGTCATCAACACAGCCCAGAAGATCACTGGCTGCTCTCTGCCCAGTCTGGAGGCCATTGCAAACTCTCGGTACCTCAGCAGAGCTGGCAATATCATCAAGGACCACTCTCACCAGAGCTTCTTTCCCAGAGCTATCACCGTAGTAAATAAGCACAAAACAATTGAACCTGCTTAACTATACCATACTTGCCATTGTCACTATATTATGCTGCTATTCATACTATCATTATATTAATGCTGCTATCCTGTATATATCGTACTTATTATTGTCTGAGTACTTCGGTTGTTTTATTGAACTTTTTATACTTACATTTATATTTATTATTGCATTTTGCACCAAGGGAGTGGCACTCCAATTTCGTTGTACTTTGTACAATGACAATAAAGGCTATTCAAATTCAAAAGAGCTCTGTGAAAATGTTTCTTAAAGTGGACACCCCCCTTCCCCCCTCCACACACACAAGACTCTGTGTGAATCTTACCTTGTAGTGGCACCAGTCGACATCGCAGAGGATCATCCTGCAACACGAGACAAAATAGAAAGTTTAAGGCGTGATGAAAATGTTAAAATACAGTGCGACCCATTTGAGCTCATTCTGACTCTACTCCTCACCAGATCTGCAGGCAGCTGTCTGAAGGTAGCGGGGCTCTGGTGTGGGGTGTTGGAAACCGCCGTGGGAAGGGCTGACAGGCTAGTTTGAGAGGAACTAGTGGTGTTGGGCAAGCTGTCCCCTAATCCTCGGTCTTCATCTTCGAGGGGCGGGGAGGCCTTGGTCATCCCAGCCTGGGTCTCCTGCAGGAGCGGCCTTGAGTCTGGACGGGACTCCTCGCCTTCCAGACCCGCGTTTTGATCATTCTGTCGCTCCTCTGCTGTGGCTCCACTCTCATCCTGAGCAGGAAAAAGGAAATGTATAGAAAACGTGAACACAACAATGGTATATGTTGTCCAAACAGTGTAATAAATGGACAGAGTTGAAGATTGACGCATCAAAGTTTTGATTAGTGGATGAAAAGCTCGACTGGTATTTAACTCCAATAAATGCTTTAAATCTCATTTCACTGACAGACACAGGGTGTACTATCGTATTACCAAATCTCCTTACATGAGGCGTGCCTCAGGGGTCCATGCTTGACCCAGGCTTTATCATGCCATAATACTAATAATAATGACTCAGTTTACTTTTCCATGAGTGTGTTCTGTAGATAGATTTCACAGACAGAATTAAGCCCCCCCCCCAAATCTTTGATAAGTTTTGTGAAGTAAAAATCTGCTAATGTGAAACACTTGTGAATCTTGTCATGAAAACATATAAAACAGTGTTAAACCGTTTCTCTCTTTTTTCTTCACTGACTTTAAGACACAATTCATGCTTTTATTTTATGTCTATTTGATTACTTTATTGTTGTCATTTTTCAGGTGTCAGCCTGTCTTTACGTTCTTGACTGGAAATGGTCCAAATCACCCCCTCGCACTCTTAACAGGCACTTATAAGAGAGATCAACTACGTTAGCTTTTCCTTGTTGGCTCCCATTCAGTTTTAGAATTGATTTCAATATTTGTTTTTAAGTCACTGAGTGGAGTGGCACCACTTTAACTCCCTGATCTTGTAACCTGCTCTATTCATGCGAGATCACTGAGGTACACTGAGCAGATCCATCTGCTTTTTCTTCCTTCAGCAGCACAGCACTTTGTTCAATGTCTATTTGAAATGGTTTGAATTAAACATGTAAAATAACGACAAACTACTTACAATGGGAATCTTGACAATTTCACTGGACTCGCAGTGGAGCTTCAAGCCTATTTCGGAAGCAGGAAAATAGCATTAGGAACACATCTGATGAGTAAAACATTAACTGCAGACGCACATTACTTGATATCAACTCACATGGTATTTCACATGAACGCTGCTTGAAAATGAACCACCACAGAGCCAGTGCGATAATGATGATGATAACGATGGCCAGGAAAATGCACAGAGGTACAACTGAAAGAAACAACAACAAATGCCACGAACACAAAAAATTTAATTTAAGCAATGATAGCTAAAAAACTTTCAGCAGCAGAATCTGAAACTGATAGTGAAACTTACCGATGCTCGCCGGAGGATCCAACGTGGGCGAAAGGGACGGAGTGATTCGTGTGGGGGACAGAGGGCGTTTTCGGCACACTATGTTAGAAAACGGTGTGCACTTTTTTACCTCCTCCTCATGAGGTTTACACCTGCAGTTTTGAAGCACAGAAACATTTTAAGTAACAGTAAAACAGAGTCCCAAATTTTGACTGTAGGGTAAACGCAGACGCAAAAACAATCCAGAATAATTTCAGGAAACAGGTAAGTGACACTCACTTGACACAGCGCTTGCAGACTTCGCAGGCCTGGTCCGGAACACAGAAGGTATTCGGTTTGCACTGGCACTTAGTGTCTGCAGTTGTGGTGCAGGAAGCAATTTCCTCCTGATCTGTGGACAGTTAGGAAAGTTGTGAGACAAAGAGGCTTCTGTAGCACCTTTCAGAACAAAGTCAAAAAGTGCCTAACAGGACACGATGGGAAATAAACAGCTAAAAAAAAAACAATTAAAAAAAGAAATTCAAGACATGGCACCATGTCTGCTTTTATTTAGCAAAGCTCAACTCTGAATGTTGCAAACTGCGTAAACAGCTGCAGACTTTAACAAGTGAACTTCTAAAAAAACGTATTCCCACGACCATCAGCATGCATTACATGATGGAACAAATAGAAGACCTTCAAGTAATTGGTTGGACACCGGCAATTATTTGGCAATCTTTTGCAAAGAAAAAAAAAAGATATGTTAGATAATTAGGTTACTAATTTTATCTCCCTCTGAGACATATTTTGCTTCACTTTAACGGGATAATAAGGAACGGAGAATCTGCCACGGTTCATTTCTTAAAATGAGACCTAAATAGATGGTAGCCCTGGCCTTTAGGATACGATCAAAATTAATAATAATTAATAGCCAGCGGTCCAACTCCACAGGATGCCCTTTCATATAAAATCTCATGTTCATGCTTGCCAATTAAAGAAAAATGGCTTTGTTAGGTTGGTTTGCAAAATGTGTGCACACTGTCTTTCACACTAACCTTCATGTACAGGCGATTAAGCTCATTCTATAGCAAGCTATGGATATTTTAAAGAGTTTTATAGAACTAAGTAAGGACGATTTTTTTTCGTATTCACTGCATATTTTAATGTGATCCAAATAAAGGCGACTTTCCCACAGGTGACAACTGCCACCTTCATCAGGTCACCGATGATGTTTCTGCTGGTGCATTTAGTTGCAGTTATTTAAATCACAGAATACTAAACAATCGTGACTAATCTAAGCTGGAGTTGAAATGGCACAATTATTTTCTGTTTGCTTCAACACTGCCCATAGAGGCAAATGTGCGTTCTGCCGTAAGTGTTAATGATCATCAGTGTAAAGATCATAATGATCTCAATGTGATTAGGCAAGAAAAAAAAATTACCTTACCCTGATGCAAGACTGCACTCATTTCCCATTTCATTAGTAATAACTTAGTAGTACTATTATTGTACGATCTACTGTACAATATTAAGCGCCTTGAGGCGACTGCTGTCGTGATTTGGCGCGATATAAATAAAACTGAATTTCATTGAATTACTAGTTTGGACCCTCTGTTGCTTTCAGAACTGACTTAATTCTTCATGGCATCGATTTAAGAAGGCGCTGGAAAGATTTCTCTGAGATTTTGGTCCATGTTGACATGACCGCATCACACAGTTACTGCAGAAACCCCTGTTTAATGATTGTATGAGTCCTTGTTTGAGCTACCCTTGCTTTCCTATCAGCTCGATGTAATCTGACAATGCAGGTTTGCATTGGGATTTTTTTGGGGGGGGGGGCGTACTAGAGATGGTTGAGCGGGAAAACCACAGCAGATCAGCAGTTTCTGAAATACTCCAATCGGCTTTGTCTGGCAGTAGCAACCATGACATGTTTAAAGTCACACAGATTTCATTTTCCCCCCATTTAGATGCTCACTTTGACCTTCAACAGGTCTTATTGACCGCGTCTACATGCCTAAATGCACCAAGTTGCTGTCGTCGATGAGTTGATGGCTCAATGCAACAACTTGGATTGTAGCCTGTTTGCTTCACGTATTTTTTTCCCTTTATGCAAGACAAGTTGGAAAAGTAAAGCTCTCAGTCGAGGTTTGGATTTCCAAACCAACAAACAGCTTTTTTGTATTTTAAGCATTTCTCTGATTAGAGTCTGAACACAAACAGGCTGCTATTTTAGTTTAGTACATCTACTCTTACTTATTCCAAGTATGTGGGACAACAGGCTTCACTGTTATTATATTAATGACATGTAACAATCAAAATTAAATTACAATTTTCCAATACAGAGCGACACGGGTTCTGTTTCATTCCTTTCTAAAGGCAGGGCACGAAAAAGACACTGGTAGGATATCATTTGCTGCACGCTTGTTAAACACTAAACCCCACGGCACACTAGAAGCTTTGATTCTGGCAGAGCACACAAATATTTAAAAGGGATTAACTGTGAAATTATGTAGCATAAAAAGAACTATCAAAGATTTTTACGGTCTTAACCTTTTCCTGTTAAAGAAGAGAAGTTTTAAAATGAGTTGAAATACAAAAGCAGCTTAAAATGGTGAAAATTTATCTGTGTTTCTTGTCGGAGTGAAGTGTCATAATTGCACAAAGAGTGACACAACTATCAGCATTGGGCTTGGCTGTGAAGGCCCAACTGCACAACCAAAACAAGGTATTAAAAAGCCTGTCTATTGCCACTTTACCAAAATTGACTTTGTTGCACTTTAAACAAGTTGGTGATGGGGATTTTATCTGATATTACACTTTATATGTGGCTGACAACAGAGCATTAGGGCTGCCACGATTAGTCGACTAGTCACGATTACGTCGACTGTCAAAATCATCGACGACTAATTTAATAGTCGACGCGTCGTTTGAAGCTTTGTAAGATCCCAAAAGAC